AAATCATTCAGCCAACACCATTTAGTAAGACGACTTTATGTTCTGTGGAATCCCTGAAGGTATTTTTTGGGGGGACTGACCTTAAATCTTAATCCTGACTTGTAGCGGAGAAGCAGGAGAATGTTGAAACTAGGCACATGTTCAACCTCTCATCTTTGTTCTGATTTTGTGAAGTATGCATTTGTTTCTTCAACGGGGCATCCAGTATGGTGCCTGGTGCAACTGGAACTCAACTGCAGCTTCCGTGATTTGTCAGAACAGTCTAGATGTTTACAGTAAAACACCTACAGAAACTAGCAGGGAAATAAAGCCAGCATTTCATTATTCCTGCACATTGTATGCTTCCATAATCATCTGGTTTCGACTATTTCAATGTGGCTAATCTTCGAAGATATAGATCATCCTCAGACTCCAATCATGGAAAAGTAGTAACAGTTAAGAAAAACGCATTATTATTTTTTTCACTTCCTCTTTCACTGCTTCTAGTGTCGAGGCAAATATGAGGTTCTGCTTCCTGCTCTTCTGGCTGCCTCGGCCATAGACACATTGTGTTATTGTAGGATTTCTCTAAAGTTATATGCCTCATGCTGTATGTCCTTCTCCTGTATGTCCTCGGCCATAGACACATTGTGTTATTGTATGATTTCTCTAAAGTTATATGCCTCGTGCTGTATGTCCTTCTCCTGTATGTGCTCGGCCATAGACACATTGTGTTATTGTAGGATTTCTCTAAAGTTATATGCCTCGTGCTGTATGTCCTTCTCCTGTATGTCCTCGGCCATAGACACATTGTGTTATTGTAGGATTTCTCTAAAGTTATATGCCTCATGCTGTATGTCCTTCTCCTGTATGTCCTCGGCCATAGACACATTGTGTTATTGTATGATTTCTCTAAAGTTATATGCCTCATGCTGTATATCCTTCTCCTGTATGTCCTCGACCATAGACACATTCTGTTATTGTAGGATTTCTCTAAAGTTATATGTCTAGTACTTTGTGACCTCCTGTATGTCCTCGGCCATAGACACATTGTGTTATTGTAGGATTTCTCTAAAGTTATATGCCTCATGCTGTATGTCCTTCTCCTGTATGTCCTCGACCATAGACACATTGTGTTATTGTAGGATTTCTCTAAAGTTATATGCCTCATGCTGTATGTCCTTCTCCTGTATGTGCTCGGCCATAGACACATTGTGTTATTGTAGGATTTCTCTAAAGTTATATGCCTAGTGCTCTGTGTCCTTCTCCTGCATGTCCTCGGCCATAGACACATTGTGTTATTGTAGGATTTCTCTAAAGTTATATGCCTCATGCTGTATGTCCTCGGCCATAGACATATTGTGTTATTGTAGGATTTCTCTAAAGTTATATGCCTCGTGCTGTATGTCCTTCTCCTGTATGTCCTCGGCCATAGACACATTGTGTTATTGTAGGATTTCTCTAAAGTTATATGCCTCGTGCTGTATGTCCTTCTCCTGTATGTCCTCGGCCATAGACACATTGTGTTATTGTAGGATTTCTCTAAAGTTATATGCCTCATGCTGTATGTCCTTCTCCTGTATGTCCTCGACCATAGACACATTGTGTTATTGTAGGATTTCTCTAAAGTTATATGCCTCATGCTGTATATCCTTCTCCTGTATGTCCTCGACCATAGACACATTGTGTTATTGTAGGATTTCTCTAAAGTTATATGTCTAGTACTTTGTGACCTCCTGTATGTCCTCGGCCATAGACACATTGTGTTATTGTAGGATTTCTCTAAAGTTATATGCCTCATGCTGTATGTCCTTCTCCTGCATGTCCTCGGCCATAGACACATTGTGTTATTGTAGGATTTCTCTAAAGTTATATGCCTCATGCTGTATGTCCTTCTCCTGTATGTCCTCGGCCATAGACACATTGTGTTATTGTATGATTTCTCTAAAGTTATATGCCTCATGCTGTATGTCCTTCTCCTGTATGTCCTCGACCATAGACACATTGTGTTATTGTAGGATTTCTCTAAAGTTATATGCCTCGTGCTGTATGTCCTTCTCCTGTATGTCCTCGGCCATAGACACATTGTGTTATTGTAGGATTTCTCTAAAGTTGTATGCCTCATGCTGTATGTCCTTCTCCTGTATGTCCTCGGCCATAGACACATTGTGTTATTGTAGGATTTCTCTAAAGTTATATGCCTCATGCTGTATGTCCTTCTCCTGTATGTCCTTGACCATAAACACGTGTTATTGTAGGATTTCTCTAAAGTTATATGCCTCATGCTGTATGTCCTTCTCCTGTATGTCCTCGGCCATAGACACATTGTGTTATTGTAGGATTTCTCTAAAGTTATATGCCTCATGCTGTATGTCCTTCTCCTGTATGTCCTCGGCCATAGACACATTGTGTTATTGTAGGATTTCTCTAAAGTTATATGCCTCATGCTGTATGTCCTTCTCCTGTATGTCCTTGACCATAGACACATTGTGTTATTGTATGATTTCTCTAAAGTTATATGCCTCATGCTGTATGTCCTTCTCCTGTATGTCCTCGGCCATAGACACATTGTGTTATTGTAGGATTTCTCTAAAGTTATATGCCTCATGCTGTATGTCCTTCTCCTGTATGTCCTCGGCCATAGACACATTGTGTTATTGTAGGATTTCTCTAAAGTTATATGCCTCATGCTGTATGTCCTTCTCCTGTATGTCCTTGACCATAGACACATTGTGTTATTGTATGATTTCTCTAAAGTTATATGCCTCATGCTGTATGTCCTTCTCCTGTATGTCCTCGGCCATAGACACATTGTGTTATTGTAGGATTTCTCTAAAGTTATATGCCTCATGCTGTATGTCCTTCTCCTGTATGTCCTCGACCATAGACACATTCTGTTATTGTAGGATTTCTCTAAAGTTATATGCCTAGTGCTCTGTGTCCTTCTCCTGTTTGTCCTTGACCATAAACACGTGATATTGTAGGATTTCTCTAAAGTTGTATGCCTCGTGCTCTGTGTCCTCCTGTATGTCCTTGACCATAGACACATTGTGTTATTGTAGGATTTCTCTAAAGTTATATGCCTAGTGCTCTGTGTCCTTCTCCTGTATGTCCTTGACCATAAACACGTGATATTGTAGGATTTCTCTAAAGTTATATGCCTCGTGCTCTGTGTCCTCCTGTATGTCCTTGACCAGTTTAAAACAACACAATAGTCGTGGCAGAAGTAATCACTGCAGTAGAAGGTAATGAAAGAACAGTTTATAGAATTTTACATCACAGGCTTTACATGAGAAGTTTGTATTTCTGCTGGGATCTGTGCCCTTTGGCATTAACAGAAGCAAACAAGGATAAGCTGCTGTCATCAGTTGCTCGAAAAGTGCAGGTCTAGAAAACATTTTGATGACCATGGTGACAGTAAAAGTCTCTTAGATTCACTATTATAGCCCTCAGTCCAACATTTCCAAACTAGAAGCCCAAACTCCCAGATACTATGAAAACACAGATAGTTACAAGAGAAGTTATCCTTGATTTTTTTCTTTTCATGCAAAAGGTGTCTTATTGAATATGTTGAAGTAAAAATTGACATAACAGCACTCAGGACGCTGCCATATGTGCTCCATCCCCATCTTCAGCAGCAAGCAAAGAGTTCTAATTCTGATGACACCAGTAGCCATCTGATTGTATATTTTCCTATTGATTAGTGGACTTTTACAAGACAAGATAATCCCAATCAGCACAAAGAACTTCATACAAATCATATTTGTTCTAACCCTGTGCTATCAGTGGCAGACATGGTAACTCACAACAAACCAGAATAGAAAATTAACAACCATGGAAATGAGAGAAAATTAACAGCCATGGAAATGAGAGAAAATTAACCACCATGAAAATAAGAGAAAATTAACAACCATGGAAATAAGAGAAAATTAACAACCATGGAAATGAGAGAAAATTAACCATGGAAATGAGAGAAAATTAACAACCATGGAAATGAGAGAAAATTAACCACCATGAAAATAAGAGAAAATTAACAACCATGGAAATGAGAGAAAATTAACCACCATGAAAATAAGAGAAAATTAACAACCATGGAAATAAGAGAAAATTAACAACCATGGAAATGAGAGAAAATTAACCATGGAAATAAGAGAAAATTAACAACCATGGAAATAAGAGAAAAATAACAAACACGGAAATGAGAGAAAAATAACAACCATGGAAATAAGAGAAAAATAACAAACATGGAAATGAGAGAAAAATAACAACCATGGAAATAAGAGAAAATTAACAACCATGGAAATAAGAGAAAATTAACAACCATGGAAATGAGAGAAAATTAACAACCATGGAAATGAGAGAAAATTAACAACCATGGAAGTAAGAGAAAATTAACAACCATGGAAATGAGGTGTCTGAGAAAGGCTGCAGGAGTGACCAGAAGAGATCAAATCAGGAATGAGGTATTAATAGAAAAAGTCAGCTCAGAACCAATTCTGAATTACATAAAAAGACTAGAAATCAAATGGTTTGCCAACTTAAAGAGAATTCCTTGTGATGCCACACCATGAAAGGCATACACCAAAAGAGGAGATAGACGAATAGCACCAGATAGACCAAGAACAAGATGGAGAGGTAACATTAGACAAATGACAACAGCTTGATGTGTCTAAGGTTGAGGCAGACAGGAAAGCAAGCAACAGAACCTTATATCTCCCTCGACACCCGAAGCTGTACAAAAGGAGAGGTAACATTAGACAAATTACAACAGCTTGATGTGTCTAAGGTTGAGGCAGACAGGAAAGCAAGCAACAGAACCTTATATCTCCCTCGACACCCCAAGCTCTACAAGAGGAAGAGAAGAAGAGGAGTAATGGACAGTAAGTACTTTAAAGATGTCTACTAAATGTTTAAAAAGGTTGTGACCATAAAACAAGTGATATCCCTAGCTATCATCATCCTTGAAATATTGTCTTTTTCTTCTTAGGACATGCAAATCTCGGCACAAACATATTGAAAATATGGCTGGTAACCAAGTAAGTAAAGTTCAGATCTATTGTCTTCAAGCCAAAGTTTACAAGATTATAAAAATTCACTGTTAGAGTATTCCTTATGAACCCCTTAAGTGGGTGTGATCGCTATATATCCATCAAGGCAAATTGCTGTGTCATTGGACATCTGTCCTTGACTCTCTATGGGATGTGGCTAGTGGGTATTATGGCTATATATATCCATCAAGGCCAATTGCTGTGTCATTGGGCATCTGTCATTGACTCTCTGTGGGATGTGGCTAGTGGGTATTATGGCTATATATATCCATCAAGGCCAGTTGCTGTGTCATTGGGCATCTGTCATTGACTCTCTGTGGGATGTGGCTAGTGGGTATTATGGCTATATATATCCATCAAGGCCAGTTGCTGTGTCATTGGGCATCTGTCATTGACTCTCTGTGGGATGTGGCAAGTGGGTTAATGGCTGTATATATCCATCAAGGCCAGTTGCTGTGTCATTGGGCATCTGTCATTGACTCTGTGGGATGGGGCTAGTGGGTTAATGGCTGTATATATCCATCAAGGCCAGTTGCTGTGTCATTGGGCATCTGTCATTGACTCTCTGTGGGATGTGGCTAGTGGGTATTATGGCTATATATATCCATCAAGGCCAGTTGCTGTGTCATTGGACATCTGTCCTTGACTCTCTGTGGGATGTGGCTAGTGGGTATTATGGCTATATATATCCATCAAGGCCAGTTGCTGTGTCATTGGACATCTGTCCTTGACTCTCTGTGGGATGGGGCTAGTGGTATTATGGCTATATATATCCATCAAGGCCAGTTGCTGTGTCATTGGGCATCTGTTCTTGACTCTATCTATCCGCCCCATTGACGTCAGACGTGTTCTCCGTGAGCTCTGGCTTTTTTGAATTATTGTGTCAAGATACATCATTTTTCACAATGGAAATATACACCAGTGTGATCGTTGTTCTGCCGTGCATCGAGTGAAATAGCTTTTGAATAATTTCTGTGTTATATTACTATTAAATATGTTTTTTTGTAGTATACAATAATGGAAAACCCTGTGACCAATCAGCGATCATGGTGTCTTTAAACTGACCAACCACCACGATACAGGTGTTTTGAAACCAGCATCAGGCGCGATGCAATGGGTTGTGAACTATTGACCTCCTAGGCCTAGCATGTAGGACAGGAATGTCGGACGGTGAAAACTTAACTGTTGAGATTTTGGAAGGGAGGGGAGGGCGCGCTGGTCTTCGACCTGGCGTCACCAAAAACTACACACTTAACTCAGAGCGTGCTGTTCGACGTAAACTCGACCGTTGTCAGTATGAGCTAGATATTACCATCGAAAATTCCAATGAGGGGAGATGTGCTGCAGTAAAATTCAACAACACGATACATTATGAATCGTTTCGGTCTTTTCTTCTCAAATGCTATCACCAGGAGCAAGTTGAACGCAGGCTAGATAAGCAAGGGGCACATGTAGAGGATAAAATAAAAATACCATTACTGACAATCCATCTCTACCACACAAAGAATAAACTGTTGATACAGGGATGCTCCATCGCTGTCAATGACTGGATTTCAACAGAATTCTCTGAACTACAGATGTCAGCTAAAGAAACATGTGCAGAATTGTTTAAAGCGCAACCAGTTCTCAATACACCCACCGAAAGTGAGACAGTCACATCAATTATGCCTGTACTCACACTTATAGACAGCACATCAGCTAACAGCCTCGTTTTGTCACAAGAAGTTGAATATAATACTGCTTCTATAACTGCTGATAAACCGGTTCTGTTAGCCATAGAATACCCAATGGTGCAGCCCCAAGAAGTGAAAAGTACCGAAAATATCACTGCTGTATCAGATCGCGAGGAAGCCTCTACCCTCAACATTTCAGCATGCGATTGTCAGAGTCGAATTGGTGCTGTAGAAAGAAACCTCAAGACACTCACTGACATAGTTGCTTCGACTACTGAAAGAAACAGTCAGATCAGTGGGGATCACAACGCGCTCAGAGCCGAAATAATGCTCCTGAGAGAAGAAAACCTGTCACTGAGAAGGGTCATTGATACTCTACAGCGCGGTTCAGTTTCTGACCTGGCAACGCAAACAGAGACTCCCAGTACGGTTGGATCATCAGTAGTTCCTCAACCAAATCTACAAGAGAGTGATCTTGAAAAAGAAAAAAATGAACAAGCTGTAGAAAACCTTTATCCCATCGATGTTCAAATTTCAAACAGATTCGATGCGTTGCTGGAGCGGTCAGAAAACAGGCAGTCTATCGATGCAGTACCAACACCCATCGAACAGGCACCAGAAACATCCTGTGATCTGCAGACTGATAGTCATCAATGGAAGAAGCAGGGTGCAAGACGTGCTAGTTACCAACAGGAACCAGCAATAAGATCTGACTGCACGCATCTAATAATTGGTGACTCCCTAATGAAGGGTGTGTACAGTTCCAGAATGTCGACATCAGACAGTGAAGTTGTTTCTATCCGTTCACTGCCAGATGCAGGAGTCGATAGACTAATAGACAGAATACGCAAACTGAATTCAAACAACAACATCAAGAAAACCACCATACACATAGGTATAAATGACACTATGAACAACAATCCTATAACAGCTGCTCAGTTACAGACATTATTGGATATACTGCGTAACAAATTTGTAAACACATGTGTTCGATTCTCGTCAATAATTCCCCCAAAATTTGGTCCCCAACGTGGTCTGGCTGACACCAACAACAAGGTGTTAGATAAATTCTGTGTCCAGAAGAACATAGATTTTATCAACAATACGCCTTTCTTCACGGCCCAGTCAGGTGCACCGAAGAAACTCCTCTACAAGGATCAGGTTCACACCTCTACCTTGGGAACGAGCATCCTCGCAAAAAATATCAAGTATCCCCAAAGAACACAGTGCAGTCTTAACAGTGAAGTGCGGAAGTCTTCATGCGACTCCCGCACCATACAAAACAAGCCAGGCATCCCAACTACACACTCGTCCATACCGGACAGAAGGCTGTCAACAACCCCACGAGCACACCCACTACCACATGGGAACCGGGCACACCATTTCACACCCACCTCAGCAAAGGAGAGAGATAACTACAAGGAGTCGTTTCCTCCTCTTCCCAACAGGGAACCGCCCACCATCGGCACAACACCGCTGCTACGGCGGCATGATTTCACCGGTCAAGGACATGAGTCCTCGAATGAAAACATACACACACCGGAGCAAATGTTTCCTTCTAATTGGAACTCCGAACTTGTACACCTTATGCGCTTCAGCCCCAATGCGCTCAGGCAAGCGCTAACGATGTCGATGTCTCTACAGTACAGACCGGCAGGATACAAAACCTGTTAAATAACTACACAGAATCTCAGCAGACAAGAGTTTTCATTTGTCGTTTTTTCCATTGCGTTAGTATTGTGTGTCCACTCGGCCAGCAGTGGGTTGCACGAATTTGACTTGAGTCGCCTTTTGTGTGTGCGTCCCACATAGGATTTGATTCAGTTTGTACTTGATATAATTGTTTTTTTTCTTTTCTTGACATAATTCTGCTTATTTTGTGTGTGTGTGTGTGTCCCATATAGGACTTGATTCAGTTTTGTACTTGATATAATTGTGTTTTTTTTTCTTCTTCTTAACATAATTCTGCTTATTTTGTGTGTTTTTATTGATGTACTTGATATAATTCTGTTATTATTTTATTTGATATATTCTGCTATTTTAGTGTAGCAGAAAACTAAGTGGGAGTGTAGACGAGCTACTGAGCACGTTAGTTGTTCAGTCTTGTATTGTGTTAAATTGTTATTATCTTGTAGTTGTTATACTTGCTTCAAGTTTTCCTCGTAATGTCTAACAAAGAGGAACACTGGCTTAGCAAAGCGGGTCTCAGGTTAGGTCATCTCAATATTTGCCATCTTATGAGGAAGCTGCCTGAGCTGTCCCTTATTCTGAATCAAAATTTCCATATGTTCGGCCTTAGCGAAAGTCGATTAAATGATAAAATTTCAGATGAAGACGTATTTATTAAAGGCTTTAAAGTTTTTAGAAGAGACGCGCGTGTGAAACAAGAGACGGGTATAGCGGTCTACATAAGTAATTCCCTTAATGTTCACCGTAGGCAGGACTTAGAGACTGGTGAGGTAGAATGTATATTTTTAGAAGTCAAATTAAAAAATCACAAACCCATCATGGTTGGTTACGTCTATCGAAACCCTAGCGCTGGGGCTATGTGGTATGACAACTTCACCACCATGATGGATCCATTGTTTACCAGTGCCAATGAAATCATACTTTTAGGAGATTTTAATATTGATGCTCAAAAATCAAACAAAACATGGGAAAATATAGTTGCATCATATAATCTCCAACAATTAGTTGAGCAGTCTACTAGAGTAACGAACTCTTCCTCAACCATTATAGATCACATATATGTAACATGCCCAGAAAACATCGTAGAATGCAAGGTCCCCAACTGTACAATGAGCGACCATTTTCCAACTTGCATCACGTGGAGTAAAAGGGGCACAAAAATCCCAAAGCATAAACATATTAGCATAAAATTTAGAAGTTATAAAAATTTCAGTCAAGATGCATTCTTAAAAGATTTACTTGATTCCCCCCTGAACCATGTTTATCAACTTCCTGATCCAGATGAAGCCATGGAGTATTGGTTGAAGACCTTCCTTGGGTTGTTTGATAAACATGTACCAATGAAGGAAGTCCGAGTAAAGCATCAGAGTAAATCACCATGGATTACCCAGGAAGTAATTGAGATTATAAGAGAGCGAGATAGGGCACATAAAAATAAGGACTTAGTAAAATATAGGATTTTGCGTAATAAAGTTCAATACATCATTCGAAAGGAAAAAAAGAATTTCTTTACAAAATTAGTAACAGATAAAACAAATAGTAAAGATATATGGAAGGCAATTAACACCTTGACTAACAGAAACAATTCATCACGCTTGTTATCATCAAATCATGTTACATCAGATGATTTCAGTAATTTCTTTCAAACAGATATAGAGCAGTCGAAGGCTTCAATACCACATTATCCATGTGATTTATCTTTGCTGTCCTCGTTTTGTGAGACTAAATGCTCAAATAAAATTCATTCTGACATGCCGCTCATGTCAGTTACTGAAGTATTTACATATCTCACTAGTCTAAAAAGCAGTAACGCTTCAGGTTTAGATGGAATCAGCAATAGGATCCTTCGGTGTGCTGCATCAGTTGTCTGCGAGTCGTTAACGTTTATATATAACCAGTGTCTTGTCAAAGGCTATTTTCCTTCAGCTTTTAAAATTGCCAAAGCATATCCACATCTTAAATCTGGCTCTTTGGACAGTGGTCTCCCAAGTAGCTATAGACCCATCTCCTTATTATCATCATTATCAAAACCGCTAGAAAAACACATTCACAAAATAACCCTCCAACATCTAGATATAAACAAACTTATAATTGATAACCAGTCAGGATTTCGACCAAAGTATTCGTGCCATACAGCTTTAACAAACATGATAGAAAACTGGCATCATAATATTAACGAAGATCAAATAGCTGGGTGCGTGTTTATAGACTTTAGAAAAGCCTTTGACATGATAGACCATACTATCCTTATTAGAAAACTAGAAATAATGAACTTCAATTGTAACCTATTAACGTTATTAAGATCCTTTCTGTTAAATAGGAAACAGGTAGTTTCATACAATAAATCCCTGTCACAGACTACTGTGGTGAATACTGGAGTACCCCAAGGCTCTATTCTTGGCCCTCTGTTATTTGCCGTTTATATAAATGATCTTCCTTTATGTCTGTCGTCGCCGTGTGATTTATTTGCAGATGACTGTACAGTCTATACAAGTGCTCAAACGTGCGATAGTCTAGAGTCATCATTACAACAGGAATTAAACAATGTTGTTTTCTGGAGCTATGCAAACCGCATGCAAGTAAACATTAGAAAAACAAAATGCATGTTAATATCAACAAGACAAAAGCTATATTCTTTATCTGCACATAATACTCTTCAACTCTACATAAGTAACAACCCAGTAGAATGTGTAACTGAGCACAAATCTTTAGGCGTAATTATTGATAGAAATTTAACCTTCACTTCTCATGTGCAAGCTCTAGTGAAACAAACAGCTAAAAAGGTATACCAGCTTGCAAAAATTAAACACTTTCTGGATGAAAACACCAGAAGGATATTCTATACCTCCCATATTCAGACCCATCTAGACTACTGCTCCACAGTATGGGATGGCTGTCCAAGTTCAGTCATGAAACGGCTTAAAGCACTTTAAAAAAAGAGCTGTACGCTTAGTCAGTAATAATCATGGAAGAGATAGTTCCAGTTTACATAAAGATCTTAAGTTACTACCCTTCCATAAACGGTTACTTTTCAACAAGGCCAAATTTATTAACAAAATCTTATCAAAAAATGCTCCAGATTACCTTTGGCCATTATTTAAGTATAATGTGCGACATAGCAAACGCCTAAACATATTACACATCCCTAAACCTAGAATAGACTTGTACAAAACAAGCTTGGCGTACTCTGCAGCTCATCTGTGGAACCAACTTCCACAACCAATTAAAAATATCAAAAACCCCTATAAATACAATTGGAAGCTTTTTGAATATTATCTCACTTCAGACGACATGCCCCCTTAGAAGATAAAGTTTCCTAAGAACAATGTTGATTTCCACCAAGATTGATTATTTTTAGTATTATAATTGTTTTAAAATGTAGGCATACTTAGAGTGCATTGTTACAAACATGTTATTAATGATGCCTGTAATTGTCATTATTGTTTTTATTATTATTATTATTATTATTATTATTATTATTATTATTATATTCTTAAACAATGTGTGCATAAATAATGTATGCATGGCGTAAGGCCAGAAGGGCAGAATGTAAGACATGTGCTTGACACCAATCACATTGGTACTTCAATGAAAAAATGGTACTTGTCTTATAACTGTTCTCAAATAACTGTTCTCAGATAACTGTTCTCAGATAACTGTTCTCAGATAACTGTTCTCAGATAACTGTTCTCAAATAACTGTTCTCAAATATCTGTTCTCAGATAACTGTTCTCAAATAACTGTTCTCAGATAACTGTTCTCAGATAACTGTTCTCAAATAACTGTTCTCAGATAACTGTTCTCAGATAACTGTTCTCAAATAACTGTTCTCAAATAACTGTTCTCAGATAACTGTTCTCAAATAACTGTTCTCAGATAACTGTTCTCAAATAAATGTTCTCAGATAACTGTTCTCAAATAACTGTTCTCAGATAACAGTTCTCAAATAACTGTTCTCAGATAACTGTTCTCAAATAACTGTTCTCAAATAACTGTTCTCAGATAACTGTTCTCAAATAACTGTTCTCAAATAACTGTTTTCAACTGTTCTCAAATAACTGTTCTCAAATAACTGTTCTCAGATAACTGTTCTCATTTAACTGTTCTCAAATAACTGTTCTCGAATAACTGTTCTCGAATAACGGTTCTCAAATAACTCTTCTCAAATAACTCTTCTCAAATACCCTAAAGCAGCAAATCAGTCTTTTATGTATAAAATTTGAATTAAAACGGACGCATCAATAGAAGAAATACAATTTTGCTTGAAGAATTAGCGTGAGCCAGAACATTAAAGAATTTTTTCACAAACATAATCAGTTGTTACTCCGCTTTTTTTAAAGTAAAAAATTTCATAAACAAAATTTAAAAAATTTGTTATTGAATAAAGATTACATCTAAACTTTCTTCAGTTTGCGGACATTACTTTATGGCTGCAGCATAGTCTTTAAAAAATGTACCTATTACAACTAAATTACCGACATAAAGGATTAATCATGAATTATTGGTGTTGACAAATGTTGCAGTTATACAGAGTTTGATTAGCGGCAAAAATAATTTTTGTTGGAATGTTTACTATAATATGTAGAGATGTTTCAACTGTTAATGTGATTAAAGTCCCAAAAGCATAAGTAAATGTTTTTCAAATGACATACATACTTATGTCTGGAACGTTATGGGACACAGTCGAGTTTTTAACTTTACTGCAGATGGGTTGCCTCATAAGTACTCTGTTCTTTTGTCCCTGAAAATCACACAAAAAGCCCTTTACTGTCCTATTTGAAAACTTGTAAAAGAGGAACTAATTCCGACAACATCCAGAGATACACACTTGCAGTAAATGCATAAGGCAGCCACTAGAAGTGCCATCACCAACAGTCATCACCAGAATTGTTTTTTCATTGATGAATGCAGTCAGTCATGATAATCTGGCCATAAACATGCACACAAACAACCAACAGCCAAATTAAATTTTGAAAGGAAAAAAAAAAACATTTGAAAGCTTGAAAGTACATTTATATATTCTTATAGATCTGGAAGCTACAATTATAAAGTGTTATACTTATAGGGGTTACCATTATATAGTTTTAAAGTTGTAGAGACAACAGCTATACAGTGTTTTAATTATGGAAGGCAGTATTATAGTCATAGAAGCTAGTTATTTAGTATTAATATCATAGAGGCTACAAATATATAGTGTCATAGTCATAGAGTTTACTATTATAAAGTGTTTTAGTTATGGGCGCCACACTTATAAAGTGTTTTTTCCTTTTTGAAAATAATAATTTTGAGCCTTATATCTTTCTCTTTTATTATCATATGCTGTCCGTCTGTTTTGCTTAAAACGGCAATGCCCTGCCATGCATCCCGTTGGGTTAAATGAAATAATTGTGGACATTTTCTTTAATCTCCCTTATTTCAGCTGTTTGATTTTCCTCCTGTTGATGACCAGAGAGATTTACCTCCTATTCACCCCCCTGCTCCGCCAGAATGTTTGAGGGTATGTATGGTTGCCTGTGTAGAACATTTAGTAGTATTTATGACTACCTCATTACGATATTTTAGTTGTATTTATGACTACTTCATTACGATATTTTAGTAGTATTTATGACTACTTCATTACGATATTTTAGTAGTATTTATGACTACCTCATTACGATATTTTAGTAGTATTTATGACTACCTCATTACGATATTTTAGTAGTATCTATGACTACTTCATTACGATATTTTAGTAGTATTTATGACTACCTCATAACATTATTTTATAGTATTTATAACATCCTCATTACAACATTTTAGTAGTATTTATGACTACCTCATAACATTATTTTTTTATTATTTATAACTACCTCATTACAACATTTTAGTAGTATTTATGACTACCTCATAACATTATTTTTATATTATTTATAACTACACATTATAAAATGTTAGTAGTATTTATGACTACCCCATTACATTATTTTTATAGTATTTATAACTACCTCATTACAACATGTTCTGCTATCTATAACTACCTCATTACAGCATTTAGTAGTATTTATAACTACCTCATTACATTATTTTTATAGTATTTATAACTACCTCATTACAGTATTTTTATAGTATTTATAACTACCTCATTACAACATTTTCTACTGTTTGTAATTACATCATTTAGTAGTATTTATAGCTACCTCAGAACAACATTTAGTAGTATTTATAACTACCTCATTACAGTATATTTTTAGTATTTATAACTACCTCATTACAGTATATTTTTAGTATTTATAACTACCTTATTACAGTATATTTTTAGTATTTATAACTACCTCATTACAACATTTTCTACTGTTTGTAAATACATCATTTAGTAGTATTTATAGCTACCTCATTACAACCTTATTCAGTATTTATAACTACCTCATTACAACCTTATTCAGTATTTATAACTACCTCATTACAACATTTATTAGTATTTATAACTACCTCATTACAACCTTATTCAGTATTTATAACTACCTCATTACAACCTTATTCAGTATTTATAACTAACTCATTACAACATTTAGTAGTATTTATAACTACTCATTACAACAAATTACACATTACGGGACACCAGTAGCACACATATATCTTCTTGTAGGGAGTTGGCAGTCTGAAATCCAAGTGTGTCCTTCGTGCCAAAGAATTGCATGGCTTTTGGGAGTACAGTCGTTAACAAAGGCAGTCAGGTTGTTGTTTGTTGTAGGGGCGAAGATTAGCTGATGGATGTAATGTCCTAAGTCCCTTCCCCAGCACTGAGTGAGGGTATTGCTGGGTTTATTAACCCTAACATAAACTATGTCCAACCATGGAATCATTTTTGTCACAGACACTTTGCGGGAGCTACGGCGATCGTGCTCTGACGTTGATACTCACAGCAAATGATGGTAGGAGTAGAAAAAGGAGGCATAAAATAAAGATTGTGCAGTCCCCACAGTGTGCCTGTCAGACAGGACCACAAACACCTGAGCACATCCTGCAGACCTGCCCACTCTACCTGCAACTTCGAAAAGACACCTGGCCTCAAGAGCAAAGTGTGCAGAGCAAGCTATGTGGAACCTTGCAGGACCTGCAGCTGACATGCGAGTTTATAGAGGCAACCCACCTGATGGTCTGATCTGAGCATATGAAACTGAACGCAAAGAAGAAGAAGAAGAAGGAGGGAAATAAGGAGATGAGGAAGGAGAGAAAGAAAAGAGCTGGGAAGAGGAGGACTAGAAGAAAAACAGATTATCTTTTCAGTTCATTTGTATTGGATATTGGAATTGCTGAAGCGCAAAGCAACAAGCCCACACACTGCAGAGAATAGTGTATGACTTTGATATTTGTATGACCCCGGAGACCAAAATAAAAGATGGCTTGATCATTAAATGTCCAGAATATGACTGTGATCCCTGTGGAACACAGAAGCGAGGTCTAGCAATATATGTCAAGCATGGAGTCCAATAACGATAGCTAGGTACACAAAAGTATAACACTGACATGCTTGAGATTCAAGGGTTAGTTGTTCCCATAGACCACCACGACTGGTACATCTTCAGCATGTACGCGCATGTGGATCAACTTCCGAATAAAGGCACATGGGAATTCCTAGCAGATTTGGAGGAGCATGATGGAAAATTTTTACTAGCTGGTGATTTTACCGCTCGGTTAAAGGAGTGGGGAAAACAGACAGAAAAAATAACAGGGAGTTGCACTGAGTCAGGCCCTACTAAGCACTAGCTTCACTGTTTTAAACGATGGTCGTGCCACAAGATTTGCAGAGAGAGCAAGAGACTCGGATGGAGTGATCAACCTAGCTTTAGCATCCAGTACTGATGCACACACAATGTGCTGGGATGTTCTTGGAGCGCAAGAAAGTGACCATCTGCCATGCGTTGTTCTCATCCCAAAGGGACAGACTGTTAAGCAAATGCAACCACGACAGATGTTCAGATATACGCTCAATAAAGATCATTGCATTCATTGCGCCAAACAGCCAGACATAAGATATGAAAAACAACATTTATGCAACCATCGTGGTGGAACGAACAGGTGGAAAAGGCATGGAAAGCAGAAACATTGGCTATGAATGCATTGCAGGAAAACCAAGACCTACAAATTAAGAAAATATTGAAAGAAAACAACAAGATAAACAAAACCTGAGTAATGTATTTAACATCTGTGCTAAAGTAAAGAGGCCAAGGAAAGCATTTGGGAAAATGTTGTGACAGACGCAGCCGGGGAGAAAACACGACATACATTCTGGAATTTGCGCCGACAAATGAATAAGAAAAGTACCAGATGTCAAATACCAAATATTCAGGATTCAGGAGGTAAAATATAAACAAGTGACAAGGAGAGGGGCAAGAGTTTTTTAGGCAGTATTTGATCCAAACAGATAAAGATGATAAGACAGATCGAAGCAACACTCTAGAAAATCTCAGACATAGCATTGTCATAGACAACGATTATGAAGACTTGGTGGCTGAAATCAACATAAAACTGGCATTGTGAGGCTGCAGAAATAATGCTCCAGGGCCAGACAGTGTACGCTATTGCCATATTAAACAGTTACGTAGTGATGAACTACGAGTTGTCAGCAGTTATAGAATCATAACTCTTCAAAATGTGTATGGCGAACTGATGGAAAGCAATTGTGGCGAAGAAAATGATGTTACATTTAGAAAGAATGGGCATGCTACCGGACACTATGGGCAGCTATAGGTCTTCAAAGGCAACATGGGACAATGCTGGTATATTCACATATGATGTGGATGAAGGATTTCAGCAAAAGCAAGGAATGGTCGCTGTCTCGAAAGATCTAGAAGATGCCTATAGCAGCATTGACTTTAAATATCTTATGCAGTGCGTGATGGACTGTGGTGTGAACCCTTGGTTAGCTAATTGAATAGGGACAGCATTGTTGGAAAAAACAGTGGTTTTTTTTGTTAGGGAACATGGAGATCAGATCCAGTAAGCATTTGCCCTGGTCTTCCCCAGGGATCACCATTATCACCTGTCTTGTTTAACATATATACAGCAAGTCTGGCAAAAATTCAGCCCACTGGACCAGGACAAACTTTGACATTTGCAGATGATATGCTATTGTATCGAAGTGGATCAGACAGGCACAACATGACCAGAGACTTGCAAAGTGCTTTGCATGAGACGACAGAGTGGTGTGAACAGACAGGGTCAAGGGTAAACCCAGAGAAGGCTAGTGTGTTTTGTCGTCCTCTTTGAATAACAGCATTGAGAAGGAAGATTTACCCAACATACCCATGAAGGGTATTAATGTTGTAAGAAGATATGAGTTGAAATACTTAGATTTGACGTTTGATTGCAGTCTGTCCTACAGATATCACATTGAGCAGACTCTGTTCAAATGGCAGCACTGAAGACAATGGTAGCGACACACACATGGAACAGAGATTATTGTTCTTTTTGTTCAACCATTTGGCCCTTTCTGTAATCGATTATAGCCTAGGAATATTAACCCTATCTACTTCACAGTGTACAAAGCTTGAAAGGATTCAAAATGAAGGAATGACAATTGTCTTAGGTTGCACACAGGACACCCCAATGCTTGGGCTGACATCGGTCAAGTCCAGACTCACTGGCACAAGCCAAGGCCTATATGCGAGTTACCAATGATGAAAGGCATCTGCTGCAAGGTAATCTGTACGGTTTAAGAAAAGACCGGTTGAATAGAGGAAAGCCATGGATGGCACTAGCGGAAGATACTATCAAGAGGGCCGCCTCTGTCAAACAGACACAGGGAGCAGGAATAGATCAATACACACACCCACAACAGCAGTTTCCACTAGGTCATTATCAGGTTAGGAAGAGAATGTAGAGAGTGGTGTAACGGTGTACAAATTAGAGGTACAACAACTGATATATGGAAAGGCTGGACTGGATGATGCAGTAGTGTACACCGATGGTTCTGTTCATCGAGGTGCAAGATCTGGCTAGGGATTTTTAGCGAGAATAAAGGAAACAATTGTGACAGAACAAAACGGAACTTTTTATCTACAACTTCAAACATGAGAATGGAAGTGGAGGCAATCACTGCAGCTCTGGAGTGAATAGCAGAAAACAAAGTTAAGAGAGGAACTATCGTGTCTGATTCTCAGTCGGCATTGCGGAAGGTGCTGTCATCACGAATGCAGGTGGGGATTTTATTTTGCCCCTGGCAGAAAAAATATCCAGCCTTAATGAGGATTCGAACCCAGGTCTCCCTCTTGAGAACCCAGCTTTCTAACCGTTCGACCAGCCGCTCCTCTTAGTATTTATAACCACATCATTACAACATTTTGTAGTATCTATAACTGTCCTCTTGCAATATTTTGTAGTATTTATAACTACCTCATTACATCATTGTGTAGTATTTATAACTACCCCATTACAATATTTTGTTGTATTTTATAACTACCTTATTACATCATTTAGTAGTATTTATAACCACATAATTAGAACATTAGTTACTAT